TGATCGACCTTCAAATAGCAATTAATTATGTTTCGCAACGTTGTTAATTGTTTTTTCATGCGATATTGATGGAGTAGATTCTCCTGAACAATCCTGTGTCCTTGGTTTTTCATTTTATGCCCTAATTTCGACATAATTATTGTTTTTAGGCGACCCTGCATTGTGTACAATTCGTCTGCCCTGCAGGTGAAGGTGGCGCCTCTTGTGGAGAAAGAACGAAGCTCCCTTCGGAGTCCGTACAGCGCCAATTAGGACGGTGGCAAAACGCTCAAACTGTTAGCCAAATTGACTTGGCTACCAGTTTGAGCGTTTTGCCACCGTCCTAATTGGCGCTGTACGGACCCTGTCTCTTATACACATCTAGATGTGTATAAGAGACAGAGGTATACCTCTGTCTCTTATACACATCTAGATGTGTATAAGAGACAGAGGTATACCTCTGTCTCTTATACACATCTAGATGTGTATAAGAGACAGAGGTATACCTCTGTCTCTTATACACATCTAGATGTGTATAAGAGACAGAGGTATACCTCTGTCTCTTATACACATCTAGATGTGTATAAGAGACAGAGGTATACCTCTGTCTCTTATACACATCTAGATGTGTATAAGAGACAGAGGTATACCTCTGTCTCTTATACACATCTAGATGTGTATAAGAGACAGAGGTATACCTCTGTCTCTTATACACATCTAGATGTGTATAAGAGACAGAGGTATACCTCTGTCTCTTATACACATCTAGATGTGTATAAGAGACAGAGGTATACCTCTGTCTCTTATACACATCTAGATGTGTATAAGAGACAGGGTCCGTACAGCGCCAATTAGGACGGTGGCAAAACGCTCAAACTGTTAGCCAAATTACCGACGGTCGACTTTGGCTAACAGTTTGAGCGTTTTGCCACCATCCTAATTGGCGCTGTACGGACCTCGAACGGAGCTTCACTCTTTCTCCGAAAGAGGCGCCGTCGTCGCCTGGAAATGCACAACGCAGGGTCGCCTGGAACCATTAATTACGACAGTCTAGCAGATATATTGTAACGGTGACGTACATGTGGCTTTACGAAGGAGTGAGGGTACTCGCTATGGAACTGACGTGTCCTTAAAGAAAACAACGTGGCAACTTTGAAACGCTTTATGCTTCACTTTCTGGTTCGTAAACCTGAAGTGCAAATGTAGTCCAAGAGTCGGTTCAGCGATTGGAACTCCTGACAGCATAGTTGCTCCTCGATACCGTACGAAATACCATTGTTACAATACAGCGGAAATATTAAGGTTATGCACGTACGGTGTCCACGTCGTCGCGACGCATAAATAATTAATATTGTTATTGTGTAAGCCGTCTTTTCGATCTAGAATGACTGTGTGATATTCGACGGATTAGACGCATGTTAGCATCGTTATTGGAACCGAATCACGGTAACGATCTAACCCCATGAAACGCTCGGTACCGTTGGCGAACGTAAGCGTACTAAAATCAGGAAGTTGACGCGCATGCGAGTGGAACATCTGTTCCGTTGACAAGTTGATTTTGGTAAACGCGATCGTACGCCGTCGTTCCACATGAGTACCAGAAGAAAGATGTCGAAAGACGAGAGCGTGGACGACGATCTTCCGGAGTCCTACCACGTGCAAGAGCCATCGGATTTACGTGGTGACGAGAAGAACATCGTTATACTTTTATTTTTATACCTGCTGCAAGGTATACCTCTGGGTCTGTGCGGCTCTATTCCTATGCTGCTCCAGAACAGGGATGTTTCTTATCGTCAACAGGTAATCAGGGATTGCCTTTAATTGCCTGCTTTTACAATAACATGTTACAGTATTTATCCCTAATTTTTTTTTATCCCCAGGCTGAATTCAGTTTCGTTCAGTGGCCTTTCTCGTTGAAACTGCTATGGGCTCCGATAGTAGACTCTATATTCTATAGGAAATTTGGCAGAAGGAAAACATGGTTGATTCCCACGCAGTACTTAATGGGATTTTTTATGCTGCTCTTATCTAGCCGGATAGATCTGTGGTTGGGCGACGGTAACGTCAAGCCTAACATAGGCATGTTGACCGTAGTGTTTTTTACGTCTAACGTCCTTGCCGCGACTCAAGATATCGTGGTGGACGGCTGGGCTTTAACAATGTTGAAAAGGTACAGGCATCGATTCGGTTAATACGTATTTTTATCGTGTAAGGATATTCCTGCAAGAATGCATTCCTGTTTGTGTCTTAAGGTGCAATGTGGGCTACGCGTCCACGTGTAACAGCGTCGGACAAACGGCCGGTTATTTTATCGGATACGTGCTTTTCATGGCATTAGAGTCCGCGGAATTTTGTAACAGCTATCTAAGATCTACTCCGTCTAGCGAGGGCATTTTGACCCTGTCCGGTAAGAAATTATTCGCGGGACCGGCATTCGGACCTGTGAAATAATTATATCCCGTTGTTCTCTCTAACAGGATTTATTCGCTTCTGGGGCTGGGTTTTCGTAATCGCGACTACACTGATCGCGTTGTTCAAACACGAGGGTGTCGAGAGAGTGCATAAAAACGAGGAATTGAGTACAAATATCAAGCACGCTTACCGATCGCTTTGGAACATCGTGAAATTACCATCGATAAAGACCATAATCGTGCTTTTGTTAACAGCCAAGGTCAGCAGTTAAATGGATCATGATGCGGCACGCCGAGCGTAGCGTGCTCGGCTATCAGAGAATTAGAATTAAAATGTCATTATCGGTGATTATAGATAGGATTCTCCGCTTGCGACGCGGTCACTGGTTTGAAACTGGTCGAAGCCGGTATACCGAAAGAAAAGATCGCCCTCATGGCGGTACCATTGATACCGCTTCAGATACTGTTGCCGCTAGCAATCTCGAAATACACTGCTGGTCCGAAACCGATGGACGTCTACATAAAGGCAATGCCCTATAGGTATAACAGGAACGATAAGAAAACAATCGCGTTTTCGCTACCGAGAGAAACACAGAGATTAAGAGGATCCTTAACACGCATTTGTAATTAATTGTATAGATTAGCTTTCGGACTGGTAGCAGCATTTTTGGTGTGGATAACACCGTACGTAATAACGGGTGGACACGTTCCGGTGTACTATTTCGTTGCCCTGGTGGCGGTCTACCTTGCGCATCAGGTACGGAAAATACAATTAGACGAATTAGGGCCGACGACCCGAGAAGAGCCGATTACCGTATCGAATGAATGTCTCTCGATTCTTTCCACCCTAGGTTTTTACAAGTAGCATGTTCGTGGCGTCCATGGCGTTCTTCGCGAAAATTAGCGATCCTGCGGTTGGCGGTACTTATATGACGTTACTGAACACCGTGCACAATCTGGGAGGCAACTGGCCAGCAACGGCGGCTCTCTGGTTCGTCGATCCGCTAACGTTGCGGCAATGTAGCACCAATCCTTCGAACGACTGTAGCACAATTTCGGAGAGAGAGGTTGGTCCGCATTAATTTCACAACGCCTAATATCGTTCTCCGAGATCGTCTGGTTCGAGTGCTCTCGCATCTCGTTCGAGATATACCAATTTAACCAATTTATTTGCTCGGCTGTGTCCAAGCGTATGTTATCCTATGTATTTCGTATTTCAGCATTGCACGAACACGCACAACGGCGTCTGCAATATGCAGCTCGATGGCTATTACATCGAAAGCATTTTATGTTTAATTATCGGGTTGGTTTGGCTCAGGTGGGGCCGACGGAAAATCGAAATCTTGCAAGCGAGACCGATGTCTGCTTGGAAAGCGATACTTTCGAAGCAGACCAGATAACAGTATTGAGTCGATGTGAACGATTGTCGCCACGGTACCTGCAGTTACATTAGGAGGTTGTATGAATTCATTCATTTACGATCGCGCGCGATCGATTCCGCGCTCGGATCATTTCCCCGCACATTTAACAAGTGTTCCAATCTTTTTAGCGCAACCGGAAAAAAAAAGAAAAGAAATTAACTGTACGGCCCGGTTTCGGGCCCGCATTTCGTTCATGTGCATCAGCTTTGTTCATTCGGGAAGCAACTTTTGTACAGACTGCGTGTCGTCGAATACTTACCGGTAACTTTTGTACGAGCAGCTTGCGACGAGTATTCCAGGTGGTTCGATGTTTACAAAAAGTTTTGCCCGCGGGATACAATAATTTATATCGTACGTTCGGCACAAAACGGTCACGTTAAATTTGTAACCAAGTACCGCGTTCATTCCGTAAAATTACGTTACGAATTACGTTTGGCGTTGCGCCCCGACTTCACGAAAATTTGTTCGCGGCGGTGCATCGTTCGGGCCGCAGACATTCCATGACTCCACACTCCCAGTATGCGGTAGACTAGTAGATATATACTGCATCGACGCATTTGTGGTGCATTACGAAACCGTGTTATCCTTCCATGAAGGTTAATCATCTTATTTACGTTGTAATATATGTAATATATTACTTGTGCACTTGTTCAGAATTGACGGTATTTCTTATTGGTTTTTTGTCGAAACGTTTCACAAAATCGCGGTACCGACTAAGAATTCTCTGCGTAGGACATAATAAGTACTTAAGTGACGTGAATAAAAGTTTTCCAAGTACAATGAAGAAGAAGAAGAAGCTCTGTTCTATCGCTCCCATAGTATTAGAAACGTAGCTTTTCCGCGTCTTGTCGGCGGTAGCAGCGAAATAAAACCGTCGAGACACTGTTCGTTAATAATACGGCAATCGATATTTTATTCAGCGTTCGCTATCCGATGACGACCGACGAAAGACAAGCAAGAAAAGTCGGAGTAAAAGATATCTATCGCGTGCACTTAAGTACTATTTGTAAGCGTTGCGTTTGTAACTCGTTCTCTTAACCGCAACAACCCGGCCGCGGATCCATCTGCTGCTGCTGCGGATCCTCCTTTCGCTTGTCGCCGATCGCCCTTTTTTTCGGATGCGTCGGAACGGCGTGCGCGTGACTCGCGGCCGGTCTGGTTATCGTTCGCGGCAAGATGTCCACGTGAACCGGCTGCTGCTGATTCTCCGTCCCTGGCACGCTCTGGTGTTCCATCTGTTCGAAATGCAGCTACAGCCGTGAATACGTCGCCGCGGAAACGTCGCCGTGAACGCGGCGTGCGTACTTACGGTTTCGACAGCGGCAGCCCCGTCGAGCATCGTCGAAGTCTCGGACTCGCAGCACTCGATGTTTCGCGCATAGACGAAACCGAAGATCGCCGCGAAGACCAGGACCAGTCGTGCGAACATATTGCGAACCAGCGAACTCGCGTTTCCTCGAGATGAGATCCGGCGATTACTGCGATCTTCGTACGCCGAGCCTACCCCTTTTTATTCGAACTTCTGGACGTCGCTCGTAAACTTCCGCGCGATTGCTCGTTATTAACGACTCTCGTTAATCCGTTATCAAGCCGCGTTACAAGCGCGTTTCCCCCGATCGGGGACAGGATCGCGAGCGCGATCGGGATGATTGTATCTGTCGGGGAATAAAATTCGTTCTCCAATGGTAAACATTTTCTATTAGAAGGTAATACGTGTGCGTGTGCGGCACACACGCTGACAATAACTTTGGTACCGCTGCTACGCAGAGATTTACGTATATACAATTATACAATCGTTAAACGGCGCGCGTCGGATCGACGCGCGACAACGAACAAATGCTGGCATATGCTAAACGTACGCGTGGAATTTGTACGATCGTACGTACGCTCTATCGTACAGCAAAAGCTCCCGAAAAAAAAGGAAGAAGAAAACTATGCGTACACACGTTCCAGAAAATTGTTTGGGTACATACATATAAATTCTCTATGGTTCTCGCGCTCGGCGTTTGTGCGCAACGGATTTCGAACGTCGCGCGAAAGGCGAATCGCTTCGAACGCGCGCTACTCGAGTCTCCTGTTAATTATTATTTACGTCGAACGTTCGAGCGATCCGCGGTTAACAATTAATCTCTCGCCCCGCGCAATAATACCGCGTGTGATACCGCCGGGCGTTAAAAATTTGTACGATGTGGTTACGATCTCGCAACAGTGTCCTCCGTTTGATCGTAAAAGTCTGCAACACTCCCTCGGGTGGTCGTAATTTCTACAGGGTGTTCCATAATTATGTTCGCACCCGGGAAGGGGTGATTCCGTGATTATGTTAGCGCCAGGAAAGGGATGATTCCCGAGGCCATTCGAAGCAACTTTTTCCTCAGCGAAAATGCGATCCGCGGCTTCGTTTGCGAGTTATTAGCAAAACAAGACTGACCAATGAGAGGCGAGATCGTTGTTTTTCGTTAATAGCTCGCGAACGAAGCTGCGGATTGCATTTTCGCCGAGGAAAAAGTTGCTTCGAACGACCTCGGGAATCATCCCTTCCCAGCTGTTAACGGAATTACGGAACACCCTGTATATTTTCTCCTGTGCTGGAACAACGAAAATGCCGGATAATCGTAGGACGCTGCGCGTCGACGGTTCGCAATTGGATCGCGACGATTTCGATCGATATCAAAGTCGTTTTGTATTGTCATTGTCGAAAACGTCGCAACTGTTACCCGCGCGCCTTTTTTTCTTTTCCTCGATTACGCGACATCTTCAAGACCGAACGTTCCGAAGAGGTTCGTCGATGAGTCCGATCGCAACGTAATGCAATTGTAAATCGGTCTGAACTCCGCTATTGTACTATACGTATGTATTGTCTCGTAAACTTTCGTCCTTACTTACGTACGAAAATATCGAACTAAATATATATACGCGGATCAGCGCGGAAAGCCGGCGCGCGCGCTCGTACAATACACGATCGAACGAAGAACGTAGAAATTTGTGCGTAACGAAACCTAAGTTAATTCAGCTAATTCTCTCGGTCTAGCACTAATCGAGGTTAAAGACGATCAACGTAGCTGGCCGATTACGACGTAACTTGCACAATGTTGAACCGGTTAATCCGCGAGATACAGCTGTACGGATTCGCGTATACGAAGACTCTCTCGGCCCATCTCTCGCTCTCTGCGCTTCGTATCAATGTACAACAAATTCTCCCTAATTTTCCATCAGTTCGTGGACGAAAGTGGACGATTTGGAGAAGAGGAGATTCGATTGCAGTAATTTCTCCCCTTCGAATTGCGCACAAAAATGGACGATTTGGGAAGAACAGATACGATTTTTCGAGTCTTGTGGTTTCTGTAGTTACCGATTGTCGACAACTATAAAAACGAGCCGCAAGAGATCACCTCTTCACAAATTGCCCATTTTTGCGCGCGATCTAAGCGTGAATTCGGGAGAAATCACCGTCTTCTAGCCTCGCACCTCGTTTTTACAATTGTCGATCAATCGATCGCTCATGGCTCAAATAATCGTATTCCCTCTTCCCCGAATCGTCCACTTTTGTTTACAAGCTGAAGGAGAATTCGGGAGAATTTACTGTATTTTGAAATCCCGACAAAGGAAACGAATGCTCGTATTTCACGCCGCCGCGACCGACGTATCGTTACAATGAATTTATACGTCGCACGGTCCCGATAAATTAGCCGCGGGCTACTAGCGAACCAAATCGTCGTCGTTTAAAATCGGAAGCTTATCGGTTTTCTGATTGACGCGCAATGTCGCGCCCCATCTGGCTCCCCTGCCAGCCTCCGAGGTCGCCATCAGGATCGAATAAGAATTCGGGCTGGCCGCTTCTTTGCTGTAGTGGATTCCGTACAGGAAATAGATCAGCATCCCTGGCGAAACGGAAATTACACGGATCAGCATTCGATCGGCATCGATGTCACGCATTCTATTCGTAATCCGATCGACTCACCGGCTATCATCCACACGAGGAACCGCAGCCAAGTTAGGAGAGACAGATGAAACATCAGTCCGATGTTGAACAGGATACTCAATGCCGGCACCAAGGGCACCATGGGCACTCTAAATTTGCCTGTGCCATGATTCTGCTGGTGCGCGCCGATGATCAGCAGACCTGCGAAGCGGTTTCGTTGCAAATCAGCGAGACCGGGGAAAAATGGATTTTTCAAACAGCAACTGGACTATAAACATCTTCACGTTCTCGTGTAATAGAGAGTTTGGCAAATAAACTATTTTGAAATACAGTACATTCTTTCCTTATCGACGCTCAGATTGTGCACAAAAGTAGACAATTTGAGAAGAGGAGATATACGATTAGTTTTGTCGACGATCTCTCCACCTAATAATTGTCCACTTTCGTGCACGATCTGAGAGAGGTCAATTAGGGAGAATTTATTGTAGCATTTGTATTACGTAGTTGAATATATTTGTAATGTTATTTCCATATGCAACCAGTATTTCAAAAAAAAGTTTCTTTACCAAATTTTCTAGTACATAAGAAAATAAAACTATTTCTGGTCTAGTCACTATTACAAAAATCTATTATAGGTAAGCATAGGAACAGCAGCGTGATACTTGCTTCCGATCAACAATAGAACGACGTTCGCCACGACCAGATAGTCCCTGCCGCTCCACGACGTGGTGCACGTTTGAGAGATCAAGATGATCAACGCGCAAAGAGCAACGCATCCGATCGTGTAGATCATCACGCAGCCGTCCACCGCACTCCCGGGCTTGCAGTTCCCCAGAACGTGGACCAGCCACGTGTACCTCGGTTTCAGTTTACCAGCGCCTTCGCCGGAGCACAGCAACTGCGAAAGAAATAGAATAGAAAAAGAATAGAAAGGCGAGGTGAAATATCTCGATAGAACAGGCGTCGTCGTCGATCCACTCACTTCGGACTCGGCGGATGTAACGCTGTTGCAATCGCTGTTCGAATCGGCGCTCTCCGTCGGTGGCGATGCCAAGCTGCTCGGGGTGCCTGCCGTCGAGGGCGGGGGCGTTTTCTTCTCGGGTCGGTACCTCAGTATGATCACGCTGGCCGAAACGATCGTGTACGCCAAGAAGGTGCCGATGGACATGAACTCGACCAGGTGTTGGAGATCGAACAGCAACGCGATCAACGCGCTGAACGAGCCGCTGATGGCCAGATTGAGAACCGGGACCTGCGTGCGTTCGCTTATGTGACCCAGGAAGCCGAACAGCAAGCCGTCGTTCGCCATGGCGTACATGGTCCGCGGCAGGGAGAACAGGGATCCGAACAGGGTGGTCGTCATTCCGCACAGAGCCCCGACGCTGGATAATTAAGACGTCGGATCATTGTTCTGTCGAAGGTACGGTAAATTCTCTCCAATTGTCACGCGGCTTGTGAACAGAAATGGAGAATTTGGGAAGAGGAGATGCGATTATTCGAGCCCTGCGACTCGTTTTTATAGTCGTTGACAATTGGTAACTATAAAAATAACCGTAAGGCTCGAATAATCGTGTCCCCCTTTCCCCAAATTGTCTATTTTTGTGGACGATCTGGGCGTCAATAGAATTACTGTAAATAGCACAATTTGGGAAGAACAGATGCGATTGTTGGAATCTCGCGGCTCGTTTTTGTGATTGTTGATGGTCTGCGACTACAAAAACCAGCCGCGAGACTCGAATAGTCTCCTCTTCTTAAATTTTACATTTTTGTTCATAAGCTGAAGGAAAATTGGGGAGAATTTACTGTACTCCGTTGGCCTGTCGATAGTATTCGTCCGAAAGAACGTAAATTTAGCGTATGGTGACTTTTTGAAACCATCGTGCAATATTGTGCAATCAGGTTGCCACCTTAATGCTAGAACTATGGAACTCTAAAACGCGATTTAACGTATATTATTTTATGACTAGACCGTGGATTTTATGCATCTTTTAACCTTGACACTATTTTAAATTGCACCTACTCACTTTCTCAGGAACGTTGATGTATTAACTCTTTGCACTCGAGTTTCAATCTACAGTATTTCCATTTTATATGATTGTTTTTACTTGATACATATATTATGTAACGTGTATATTCTATTATTTGACAATTTATAGAATACAGACAAACTTAATAATGTGAAAATTCTTTTGAAAATAGTGTAGCAATTTTTAGCGTCGCCTCAGAGTCTCCACTCGAGGGCAAAGGGTTAATACAAACTCATAAAAATGATTAAAAGAAGATAAAAGCTTGCGTTTGTGTCTCCTTATGTCTTGCGATTGCCGAGGACAATTTTGACTTTGCATAAAGATCCGCGGTCTATCTACGACAATAACGAGATTGGATTTATTTTTATTACATAAAATATGCTAGAATAAAAAAAATGTATCTAAAAATCTCTCATGGAAACACGAGGAACCGCGGACGCGGCGCCTACCTTATCACGTATTTCGCCCACGGGATTCCCCTGGACGAGAAGGCTTCGGGAAGAGCCGCGGTCGGATTTATGTTCCAGTAGGGCACGACCAGGGTGAGTGCGGCTCCGACCATCACGTACCCAATGGTAACGATAGCCATCGAGATGATGGTTGCTCGCGGTATGCTGTAACTCGGGTCGCGCGCCTCCTCGCCGGAAGTCGCGATCGAGTCGAAGCCAACGAACGCGTAGAAACAGGTTGCCGCACCTGATCGGATCGCAGTAAAGCCATTAGAAACTCGATCGGCGAACAATTCTCGCGATAAAAAACAGTACCTGCTAGCACGCCGGTGAAACCGTACGGCAGAAATCCTCCGTTCTCGTTGCTCCAGTTCGAAATGTTCGCGTACGAGATCCCCAAACCGATCACCAGTGCCATCACACCGAGATTCACTATAGTCAGCAGAGAGTTCACCGTCGCCGAACACTTGACGCCCAACGCGAGCAGCATGGCGTAAGCCAGGCACAGGCCGCCGGCAAGCAGATCCGGAAAATTGCCCAGCGGCTCTCCCATGGTGTAACCGTGCATCGCCTGCCGGGTGTAATTGCTGATCGATCCTCCTGCCAAGGAGTCCACGTATCCGCTCCAAGCTCTGGCCACGGACGCCGCTCCTATCCGGCGATGGAAATATTCGACGTATTGGAAATGCAGTAAATACTCTCCAATTGACTCTCAGTAAATTCTCCCCGATTTTCCTTCAGTTCATAAAGCAAACATAAAGCATTTGGGGACGAACAAAGGGGAGATACGATTATTCTCGCTTTTATAGTTACACGAGCTCGTTTTTATAGTTACCAATTGTCGGCAACTATAATAATCTCTATATTATGATCTTAACTATAGGGAAGATGCGATTATTAGAGTCTCGCGGTTCGTTTTCATAGTTAATAATCGACGACTATAGAAACGAGCCGCGAGACTCGAATAATCGTATCTTCCCTATAGTTAAGATCATAATATAAAGATTATTATATTATTATTAATTATTATAATATTATTATTATTCCCAAATTGTCTTTTTTTTTTGGTTTACAAGCTGAAGGAAAATTGGGGAGAATTGACTCTATTCTAGTGTGAAGTGCTTGTGTCCTTTTTTTAAGTTCGACGGGGATATTTAGAGTCTCGCGGTTCGTTTTCATAGTTAACCCTTTGCACTCGAAGCCATTTTAATTGTAAATCTAAATTAACTTTTCTGACTTATAGTATTCCCATTTTATATGAAAAAGTACATTTCGTGCATATGAGATTGAGTCTTGTGACTCGCACGACAGTTGGGCTTTTAACAATCTTTTATATCTAAGCTTTGATAATGTAAAAATTATCTTGGCACGTGGTGCAACAATTTTAGCGGTGCGTCAGAGACACCACTCGAGTGCAAAGGGTTAATAATCGATGATTACGGAAACGAGCCGCGGGGCTCGAATAATCGTATCTCCTCTTCCCGAATTGTCCATCTCTGTTTACAAGCCGAGGGACAATTGGGGAGAATTTACCGTGTATCTCTCCAAACTATATCGTGTTTGGTATCATTTTAATCAGAAAACTGTCAGCAATATGTTAAAAATAGATTCAGTTTTGAAATGTCAAAATTAACGCTGGGACTACCGAGCCAGTCAAAGTGACTGCTTCCTGATCTTTTCTTTTACAGTTCCTGATGCTATAAAAATGTTTCTGTTAGACATTTTTATATGAACTTCTTCATGAAATGGAACTTCTTCAGCATATATTATCACAAAAATCGTAGAAATTATAACTTCTTCAATTTGTCATTGTTATGAAACAGTATATAATACATTAGTCGCGTTTAGAGCTCGGTGGTTCCAGCGTTAAAAAAGTTATGTCACTGTATTACGAGCTGTAATTATCATAGGCGTAGGAGTGCAACGCGTAAATGCGTAGAAACAGCGCCGAGCAGGCCTCCGACAGGGAGGTCAGACCAATTCCGGAGAATTTAACCGTACTCGGGTCGACTAGCGTCGAGCGAATCGCGGGGCCTCACCGATCATGTGCTCCAGGATGATGTTCCAACCGATCACGAACGCCCAGAACTCCCCGACGGAGACGTAAGTGTAAACGTACGCGCTGCCGGCCTTCGGGACTCGGGCCCCGAATTCCGCGTAGCATAGGGCCGCGAGCAGGGAGGCCATGCCGGCGAACAGGAAGCTTAAAATTACACCTGGCCCGGCTGTGTCGTGCGCCACTGCGCCCGTCAGGACGTAGATCCCGGCGCCGACCATATGCCCGACACCTGAAACACAAACGTTTTACCATTTTCCCGGCGTGACTCGTCCGCGCGTATCGCCGCGGCAATGGCTCGCTTCCGGTTTCGAACCGTTATCGGGAAACCAACGCGACATCCTGGACGACGATCGCGTCGTTGACGTCGCACTGCCGCGAGAAATACGCGCTATATATGTACATGTATACTCACCCAGCAAAGTGATGTCGAACGTCGACAAACATCGTTTCATCGGAGTCTCGAGCAAATCGCCTTCGAGCTTCTTCGTCCGATTCATCTTGGTGCACAAGTCGGACATGACGTGTCCGAGGATCATCCGGCGAACCGACGGCATATTGTCGTCGTTTTCTGGAACAAATCGGAGAAATCACAGTGTCGTCTGTTACGTGTAACCGAAGCTCTTTCGACTCGATCGACGCGGTTCGAGCGACGCGAGACGAGTCGCGTCGACGTTTCTTTCGTCGACGAATTCGCGTCGACGAAGAGAATTCGCGAGGCTCGCGCGGAGGGGTGCACAAGGGGCGACAGACGGGCGATTAAGGAGTCGCTGTTGTACGATTCGAGGCGGTGCGTCGTACAGTTTTGTTTGCGGTACTTACGGAGATCTGCTTGCACGTTCTCGGTCGGGAAATGTCTGAGAAAGTCGCGAGCGTCGTTCTAACGAGCTACGATGCACGAGATCACAGCGGACGCTGGAATCTACGGAGTCGCATGGCGCTTCCGCTAGCACGCAAACTCGGATATTCGATCGATTCAGCGGCGATAGACCTATTTATGTAACGCAAACAGTATGAATGAAACGGGCTGCGTTAATTCCGATCGTTCTCGACCGGGCTGAGTTTCATCTTTCATTCCGTTCCCGCGATCTATGCGTCGCGACGACGATGTTCGTCCAACTCGGATTTCGCTCTCCTCGATTTCCAGATTTCCGATTTGTGATGATCTTGGTCTCGAAGTGTTCAAGGCTATCGTGCGCGAGAAATGCTGCGCGTTTGAACGTATATCTCGAATATTGGGGGTTGGTACAGACATCGCATCTTTTATGGGATTTTCTCTGTCTAGGATTTTCGGAGTCCTGATTGCAAAAACTACCCCCTTACCATTTCGGTGGCAGCAAGTAGCGAAACTCGCCGTCGGACAAGTTTCGGTAGTCCGCCACGGATGGCATCGCAATTTGTCGAGGAGTTATCCTGACTCGACCCTACGTAGCTTTCAGAATTGATTTTAATTGACTTGTGAATTTACGTGTAATAATTTGAAGGCTTCAATCATTTCGCTGCGAAAGTTACTGGTCACAGCAAGCCGAATTTTATCGAAATTTATTGTTAAATGCATTCGATTCTCAGTAAGAAGCTTGAACAATCTCAACCCCTTCCCCTATAACGTCGAGTTAGGGTCGGCTGATTGGGGTCCGAAGAATGAAAAAGACGGGCCACAGTTTTCCTATAATTTAATTTAGCATTTAATTGGTATTTAATTTAGACTGCCATCTAACGAAATTATGTGCGAGGGAGAGTGAATCAGAGTGTATACTCATATATGGGGACTGCAAGAACAAAGTTATAGATGCGATTAAAATCGATTCGGACAGAAATCTTGCGGACATAATGACTAAACCGTTGAGTAGATTGAAGTTCATTTATTTAGAAAATTAAATATTAGATTAGAATTAGAAAATTAAAGTATAATTTGTAATTTTAAATATGGAAAGATACAAATGTAATAAGGTTTTTTTTTTGAAGTACATTTGTATTTACACTGCAATCTAGGGGTGCGAAGTTACGTTTAAGGGAGATTCAGGGTGAACGTGTCCCGTATACATGTTGTTCTCATTTTCATTTACATTATTAATCTATTATTGTTATTATTATTATTATTATATTGAAACTTTGCAGAAAATTTATATTGCCATTGTATTCTTTTCGTCATCATTTATATTATTAGCGTATTATTATCGTAATAAAAATTTTGCAGAAAAATCAAAAGTATATAGCAAAATTCTTCCCAATTATCCTTCAACTTGTAAACAAAAATGGACAATTTTGGACGAGGAGACGCGGCTCATTTTTATAGTCGCCGATCGTTAACAATTATAAAAACGAGGCGCGAGGCTTCTCTTCGCAAATTGTCCATTTCTGTTTACAAGCTGAAGAAACATTAGGGAGAATTACAGTAACGTAATTGCGAGTGTATAGAGCCGAGTTCCGATTCGTCACGTGTAGAAGAGTATTAGTTACATGTTGATTAAAGTATAGAAAAGAATAAGGGTTGTAATTCACACGGCCTTATTTTATATCAACGGGCATAATAAATATTTCGTCAAGGGCTAACGATGTATCTGTAGATGAACAGCGTGTGACTTTACAAATACATAATGCTCCATCTGTAACGAATACAAAATTACAACTGTACAATTCGAGAATAAATAATGTCGTGTTTCTTTTTTATTTATATACATACATACATACATACATACATACATACATACATACATACACACATACTTTGTCTCAATAATCATCTCGAGTAAAGCTACTAGGAAAGATTGTACTGTCCCTGACGGTGCAGCAGATTCGTTAAAAAAATAAAGGTGAAAAGAGGCGTCGTCATTAGACAGACTCCCGGTCGATTTGTATCATCTAACTACACCCGACGTAGAAAAAGAAAATGAGCTACGTACTACCATAAGCGTGTCGCCGTTCGATGCGCGATGCGTTTATGCGGAGTCTTACATTTCTTCGCGATCGGAAAACAGTTGCTCGATCGATCGTTCTTTTATTGTTCGCGATTTTTACGCTATCGATCACGTATGGGACGTTTATTGGTCGTTAAAGCCATGAATTCGGCGAATAACATTTTGCAACACTTATTGTAGCTAATTGAATATGTATAGAATACTCCAGACTATATTTCTGTGTTCCTAAAAATATATCAAAGGAAATTAGAATTACATCTTCGGATTATATCGAATAAAAATCAATCAAAATGTAATCGAATGAATATGGTCTGAAGCATGTCGTGTTCGGTCTCGTTTTAATCGGGATAATCTCACGAATGTGTTGAACAAATTTCCGTATACATATATAAAAAATTAGAAACGAAAAAGTTACGGTTATCGGGGAGAATTTGCTGTACTTAGTGAAACGATTCGATACGTTCGAATAAATAGAAAATGCATCCAATGTGGCTCTAATTGCTTTCACTGCAAACATCTCGTGCACGGAGACGACGGAAGAGTCTGATCCCTAATTAAGAACTCTTTCATCTGGAAGAGAGGTAGCTCCAATGGTCCCATACTTTTGATCAGTACTGTAACGAAAATGAAACTCTTGTCGCACCTACTGGAATTCGAATGAAAATTAAGAATACTTTCTGTCGATCCTCGTGAACAATCGTCCGGTTCGGATGTCTCGCGTGACGAATAGAGTCGCATATATGATGACACGATATACTGATTCATCTCGGTCCCCCAGATCGTCTGAATTTCCATTGGCCCTCTTAGGAACATGCGAATGAACAAGGGGATGCATTCGATCGAGTCTGAGTATTCGTCGAGAAGCAGATTGTCGTACACCAACCCTTCGCGCGCTTTACAATGTTAACAAATTTTGCTTATCTTATTTCACTATTATCCGAGAAAACGAAAATGTTCGAAACGTCGCCCGTTCTATTCTCCGTGGATTTATTTCAGCCCAGATGATAATAATGGCGTCGAACCGAATAAACCGTCGCGAACCAATGAAGCGCTAAAGGGTTGGAAAAATATGCGCACGCGGAACAGAGAAAAGGAGGATCATCTTGCAGCCATTTATCAGAAAAATTCCAGGCGATCTGTTCGGGGAAACGAATGTCATTTTCACGAGTTTATAGTGGAACTCACGTACGACTCGTACTAATAACGTGGTTCGCTAAATCGTAGCTGGACGAGGAACCAATCGGTTCGACTGGTCGGCCCGATACGTCGTCCAATACTTTCATCGTTTCGTTTGTACAAGACGTAGAATGTTATTGCACTTTAAACAATCTCTTGCCACGGGTCGGACTTCGCGGATAATAATCAATTGCTTACGGATCGAACCACGCGGCGACGGAGACTCTGTAATTTCTATGTACATATAAATATCCTTAATTAACGGCTTACAATTAGATAAATGAATGATGAATAGTCGCTGGATGCGATCGCTGCGACGGCAACCGTTTTCGTTGCGTTACTACGTAGTAATTGAACTGCTGATTCGCATGTATTTGTGACAGAAATTAACGAAATGCAACGGAGCAAAAAGATCAGAAATATTCGAAGTAAATGAATTTATTTCATCGAACTTCTTTCAATTTTCAATTGACTTCTGCGATGATTTGCTACGGTTCGCATGCAGAGAATGTTTACTTTACACTAAGATCCTAATCGTTCTAGCGAGAGGATCGTGTTCCACAGTGGCGTACAAATATTTCTAAACGAAAAGGCTTGTCTTATATTCGGCACGATGCAACGAAAACGTAAGAACTGATAAAACAGCAATTGTCGCATTATTTTCTTTCATTCGATATGTTAACCCTTTCCAGTGGGGGAATATTCTCAGATCGTCATCAGCAAAAATAATTAGACTGTTTAAGTGAACATAAAAGATCGCGATGGTACAGATTTTATGAAAATTGTTCATTTCGGTAGGCACCGTAATTATCAGCTAAGAAGTATCATCCGAGTGCAAAGGGTTAACTAATATAAACTCAAATTCTCTCGTCGTAATAATAATTGAAGAAAAAGCAAGCAATAAGGTAATACTCGTGCTAAGAAGTTTGAACATCGCAGTCGTAACTTTTGTAACCAAAGGAACACCAAACTTTTGACACCGGAATTCTCCGAAGCGGAAAAAATCTGTTTGGTCGAGAACTTTCGCACGCCACTGCGAGTTTCAGAGCGACCCGGTCGCCTTATCGAGTCACCGAATATTTAGCGTAAAAGGGTCAAAAAATATACTTGGAACTGTCGAGGAACGAGTCGTTTCCTCGTCGACTATGTCTTCAGGAAGTTCAGTCCCTCCCGCAGGACCTAAGTGCTCGCGTAAAATACAATTCTAATAAATGTCATGGTTGCGGGAACAACGGTGCACGATTGTTCCCCATGCTTGTAAACTATTGCTCTTCTTATCTCCGTTTACAATCTTGGATCGCCGACGTCTCTCTTGCAATTGCTTTAATAATTTTGGTCGCGCTGTCCAGCAGTATTGGTTCGAGATCGAACGAAATCGCATTCGTCTGTGCCTTTAAATGCGGAACATTCGTTTGTAGCAGCCATTTTCGCGCCGGCACGGTGGCGATGGATGCTTTTTATTCGAGAAACGTGACGCGATATTGTT